GATGGAGGGTTGAGGGGGTGGGGCATGGCGATGACTTTGGCCACATGGAGGCGGTCAACCTGCTCAGCTCGTACAAGTACACTGAGAAACAGATTGTGAGTAGTCGGTGGAGTAAGGGTTGGGGGGAGGGGGAATTGGGTGGGGGGGAGGGTTTGTGAGTCGAGTCTCATTATATTTGTTTGTGTGTGTGTGTGGGGAGGGGGGGTGTTGATAGGTGGGGTAATGATCGGGAGGATGGTTGTGAATGAAATGGTGGTGAATGGGATAATGGTGGGAGAGTGTGGTGAAGGTTGGGGCAAAGGGGGTGTGGTGGTTTGAAGGCCCCACTGGTAAGTCCTCTGCGTCTTTTCTTTCCCTCTGTTGTTTCTACTTGTCTTGTAATTTCCCTGCAATATATTATGACTGTTATTGTGTCGATGTGCTACTATTTACCGATACTCAAAACTCTCCTCCTTTTTTTTTTTGTTGTATGTTACTCTTTTGTAAGAGCTCTAATCTGCGGCTCTTAATTGACCTATTTGTGTTGCAAGTGCCATTAAACTCTTACTAAAACTGTAAAAATTTCTCTGCACTATATGACTGATATTGCATCGATGTGCTTCTCTTTACTCAAAAGTGGGTGATTGGCGGGTGCTCTGGTGTGGTTTCCTCCTTCTTTCCTATCAAACATCTATCGTCCTGATCTCTCCTCCTTGTTTTTGTATGTTTTGTTAGTCTCTTTTACTTGTAACACCTCGAATCTTGGACGCTTACATGACCTAGTTGTGTTGCAAGTGCCGTAAAACACTTACTAAAACTAAAACTGGCTGTCCTCCTTGTTTTTGTATGTTTTGTAACACCTCAAATTTTCGGCACTTATATTACTCTTTCTAAAACGAAAAAAAACCCCCAACATCTTTACTTCTTTACTCAAAGTGAAGCTCAAACTAAGCTCCCCCCTCTCCCCTCATCCCCCCTCATCCCCAGGGTTATCTGTTCATCTCTGTACTGGTGGGCGCCAGCAGCGACCTCATGAAGCTGGTGATCCAGTCCATCAAGAACGACCTGACCAGTCGTAACCCCATCCACATCAACCTGGCCCTCCACTGCATGGCCAACATCGGCAGCCGAGAGATGGCCGACTCGGTGGGCTCGGACATTCCCAAACTGCTCGTCTCGGGGTGAGTCGTTGTGTGCTTTACTCTCTGTCTGTCTGTCTGTGTGTCTGTTTGTCTGTCTGTGTGTCTGTCTGTCTCTCTCTCTCTCTCTCTCTCTCT